AATCTCACATCACCAAACTGGATCGGATTGTGATCTTCCAATCATGTCTCTATGACTTTGATCTTTATATTTTTAAAATCTTTAAACATATTTGCCATCTTCAGTTGCTTACTCCCCGTCAGATTAAAGCTGAACAAATGTATTTCAAAGGCTATAGCCTACCATTTCTTTATTATCCATTAGGGAAATAAGTCTGGGAAACAATTCAAATTCAATATTTGTGGTCAAATTAGAGCTGGTATTGTTCCTCTTGTAAAATGGGTCTGCATGCAGCTTTGGAAGAAAAAGAAAGCTGAACATATCCAGGATATGATCTGGGAGAATAATGTTGTTTTGCTATAGGTTCCTTTCACTAATCTAACCCTTTTACTCCATACATTGTGATCTATTGATATATGTAAGTTAAAATGAAATAGTTGTTTGAAAAAAAACCCCTCAAAATGGCATTATTAATAATTAATAACATTTCTCTCTCTCTCTCTCTCTCTCTCTCTCTCTCTCTCTCTCCAGACCTTCCCTCAGTGTCTCTCCTCCAGAAGACTCCCTCCTCTCCAGTCAGCTGCCACGCTACAGGTTTCTACCCTGACAGTGCCACACTCATCTGGAGGAAAGATGGAGAGGAGCTTCATGAGGACGTGGACCACGGAGAGATCCTCCTCAACCACGATGGATCCTTCCAGATGAGTGTTGACCTGAACCTTTCATCAGTCACACCTGAAGACTGGAGGAGGTACGACTGTGTGTTTCAGCTCTCTGGTGTGAAGAACGACATCGTCATCAAACTGGACAAATCAAACATCAGGACCAACTGGGGTAAGACTGGTAACAGTGATGAAGGTGGGAAACACACATTTATTTTACTGTAACAGTCCTGCATGTGTTCGTATGTGGTGTTGGATGAGAAGTTTTGTTTTGTTATATTGTTTTGTTGTCAGTTTTTTCATCTAGTTTCTTTTAATAATGTTAAGGCTTATATTGAATTTACAACAATGCACATGTCCACCTCTGGACCCTGAGGTATCAGCAGAACAAACACAATATAATTAAATCTTTTGGTGTCATTCATATTCTAAAAGAAGTTGTATTTTAGTTTTTGAATTTTTTTTAGTATTTGTCAAATAAATGTTTTCAAACTTTATCTCAGGCCATGTGCAAGCAGAGATTATAGGCGCTGTATTGACTTAACTAGTGGTCAGTTTGAGAAGATGAGTAGAGTTATTTAGTAACTGAATGAATGTATGTGAACACAGGATTGTGGTCAAATTGATGTTTTTCTTTATCTGTACACGTTTTGATTTTTGTTGTTTTCTGCTCAACAGAGAAACCTGTTGACACCATCATCATCATAGCTACAGTGTTTGTTCTCGGTCTCATCCTCATTGTTGCGGTGTTTGCTGCAGTTGGATTCGTGGCTTACCCAAACACAAAGGTTGTTGTTTATACAGTGATATCTCCAGTTGTAGTGGGAGCAAATCAATGACAGGACTGCTTTATGGCAATACTGGATTTACAGGGTTAGGGTTACAAGTTCTGTTAATTCAAGTAGAGATTTTACATCAATACTAGTTAACTTTATTCATGATCTATGATGATGAAGATACAGAAAGATAGAAATACATGGTGAAAATAAATTGTCATAGTGTTTTAGAGAACTTCCCCTGACTCCCCTGTAGTCCGCCCCCTGGTAGAGATTACTGTGTGGAGTCAAAGCACTTCAATCTGTTTACCAAGCAGCATTTTATTACCACACCGACTGTATTAAAGGTCCGGTGTGGAAGATATAGTTACAGAATATGTCTGAAATGGAATATAATATGCATAACTATGTTTTCATTACTGTATAATCATCTGAAAATAAGAAATGTTTTTGTAAGAATGAGCCCTTTACATGTACAGACGGAATCCACCATGTTTCTACAGCAGCCCAGAACAGACACTAAACAATGGCTATAGATAGGGTATTTCACGTTTTTCATGTGTTTTACTGCAAACTTCTCCTTCATGCTAGGAAGGAGAGGGTGAGGCGAGGGGTTGCAGTCAGCAACTACACAGCTAGATGCTTACACTCTGTTCCTTTACACTCATTACATTTGCCAAAACCCTGAAAATGATCAAAATGTTGTCTTTCTTCTTTTGTAATATTTGTGTAAAGAAAGTCAGGCCCAAAGGTTTTGGTTAGTTGAACTTGTGTTGCCTCATTTTGATTTATTTTTTTCTATTCCTGTAGACTTGACGGCTTCAGCTGACACTTTGATGAGCAAACCAGGTTTATATCCATCCATCCATCTATCTATCTGTCTGTCTGTCTGTCTGTCTGTCTGTACATAAATCTCTTCTATATTTTTGTCCTTCACTTGATTGTTGTTCTAATTATTTTGTATTTTTTTATCTTCAGAGTCAGATGCTTCTTCTAGTGAACACATTGAGAAACCAAACAGCACTTTGTCCATCAAAGGTAACTAATTGCTCTGTCAACATGATCCTTTCTCGAATCACATTGTGATGATATGATCTTATTAGGACAAATCTTATTAAAATTAATCATTTTGAGCAAGCTGCCATTAAAAGCTAACAATTACTTGTTGACGTTGTTCAGACTATTTTGACTACTGGAAGCTGCTATACTGAACTGATGCAGTGTTTCTAAGTATCTCCACATTACATCAGAGTGAAGTTTTTTTAACCTTCATATATCCAGGGAAACTTTTTCTTTTGTTAAGGTTACCCATGTTCACACCTGGGTGCTGCCCAGTATAACCACAGTCTGATTTGATGCCCACTGAGCAGCACTGGTGGTCATTTTCACCACTATCAGTAGTTTTGTTTTGCTGTATCTCATCCCAATGTGTTCCAGATAATAGATGGCTTCCATCAAGCCAAACACAGCAGAAGGTGTAGATCTTCTGTTTTGGTGACAGTGGATCAGTGTGGTTCTGTAGTAAAGATGTGATATGAACTGATAATAGCTGACTGTGTTAAGATCTCACTCTGTTTTTTCTGCAGTGCCTGGTTTCAATTGCCTGGGTTCTGAAACGTATAGTTATAACAGAGAAGACACCCCAGTGGCAGACCTGAAAATACTTTCATCTTCAGAGTCAGATTCTTCTTCTAGTGGACACATTGAGGAACCAAACAACACTGAACTGACAATACAGATTGATCACTCCAGAACCAAAAGCTTTAAGATGTGACAGTAACATAGCTACCACAGCATAAATACCACTTACTTTCCAAGTGTGTAGGAGAAAGTACGGCGGATGTGACACTCATAGAAAACATAAAAGACCGTATCTACAGTGTTTGGTTTGTCTGTTCTGGGCTACAGTAGATTAACATGGCAGTTCAACATGGTGGACTCCATGGAAGGCTGCCTGCAGTGTCTGTAGATAAAAATGTCTGTAAATATATAAATAAAAATATGTCAATACATCTTCTTTTCACATTTTGTAAATTAATCTGTTGCATAAAAACATTCACTTGGGGGAGGGGGCATACTACAACTTGTGTAAATTAAGATTTTATTCATAAATAAAGTGCTTCTAAAAATCCAGTTAAGAGTTATTTGTTTGTTTGTTTGTTTGTTGGTCATTTAAGGTTCATTCGTAAATAAATTTTTCAAGAAGTTTAACTTGGTTAAAGGTATTTTTTAAGTTTTAAGGAGCAGTGAGGTTGTTCACTGACACTAAATACATTATACATTGATTTTATTTAATTATTCTTGATTTAATAAACACATATTATCAGAGTAATGGATTATTGTGATGTTTTTACTAACAGAAAGTCAGGTGACATCCTCAGGTGGTTTCCCATCAGCAGTTCAAAGGCAGATACATAGTTTGTCCACAGGGGGGCGCTGTCACACTGCTGACATCTCTGTAAAGGTGAACTCAGTGATCAACTCAGGTATTATTGATCAAGATAAAAGATGTGACACATGTTGCTTTGTTTGTGTAATAAACATCAATAAAATTACCTCAGTGGAAGAACTGAGAACAAAAAGTTTCTACAACCTTTTATAAAGTGCTTCAGAAACAATAAATGAGGATTGAAACAGAGAATAAACGACGCCAAAGCGAGAGCAAAATGAAAAACAGCATCAGGTGTTCAAACATCAACAGCGGTGTTACATTTCTCTTGTTCAAGCAGTTTTCAGCGTCCACAGCTCCAAATGAGCTCAGAGGCTTTTAGCCTGAAGGACAGAGCTGACCTCATCTGATGTTTGAGTTCAACAAGCTCTCTGACTCTCTTTCTGCTGGAGGTCAAATATTGTTTTATGGAAATTATCTTGTGTTTTATTATATTGTCTGTTCTGATAGTTGACCTGATTTGAGCCAAGACCAGTGAGTAGACCTGAACTGAAACATACTAACACATAAATAAATACATTAGTGGATATGGACTTCAGAAAGGATAAAAGATGTTCTCCTCTGTCTCATTTAATAACCAGATGGTGTGATTGAACACAGATGTGTTTAAAATAACAGATAATAACAGTTCACAGTGAGAAACTGTACTGCTGCACATCAACTGCAGCTCTGAACCACTGGGGGGCGCTCCTCACCACATTTACTCACTATAACATCAATGACACTTTAATTTGTTGTTTCTGGATTTTTGATCAGGACAGTTTTCAACAGTTTAAACAGTTTTTAAGACCCTGCTGCATCCACACAAACTGCAGAGTGTCTGATCTGTAGCTGACAGTGACCTCTGACCTCCCAGAGAATAACACATTTCTGCACATTACATCACATTAACCTACAAAACATTGAACAAGATCTGAGCAGCAGAAGATTTAATTCTCCTTTCATATGTGAACAACGTTGAAACACCAGAATAAAGCCCTGCCTACATGTTCCCCCCATCCTCTCTCACACACTAACATAAGATCATTTTACTTTCACTTTCGTTGATAACCTCAGTGGCTCAGTTTTACCTAGTTAGAAGTGACGTTCACGGTCGAGCTAAATTCCCATTGGCTCAGATGGAGGGTTGATCTCAGCGTCCCTTCGTCTCTTGTCCTCATTTCACCCGCGGAGCTCCAACTGGAAACAGTGTGTGTGAGTTTCTCTGGATAAAGAAACATCTCTTCTTCAGTTCATTAAATCCTCAGATTTAACACAATGAAGACCCTGATGTTTGTGGTCCTGCTGGGAATAGGTCTACATGGCGCTGCGGCAGGTGAGTTTACATTATTTTAAATCGATTGATTGTAAAAGATAAAAAATGCTTCGTGTCTTTTATATTCTGTATATTTGAGTTTATTGTTATTTTAATAGTGTTTGATGTTTAGTTTCCAGGATATACTCACAGATAAAATAAATGTTTTAAAAAGGAACAAACCCATAATGTTAAAGTTAATGTTAGTAGATCCTGTCTCATTAATCCATAATAGTTACTGTTGGAAGAAAAGCTTGAAGGCTGTTTCTCAAAATGGCTGCTAAAAAGTGTGTTTTTATTTTCCATTATTTTAAAATATCAATACCATTAAGATCGATAAGTTCTGATCGATATTGATACTAAAATGGCAGCAGAACTACGCAGCAACAGTCCAACAGTCAGATAAATAAAGAAAAGAGGAAAAAACATTAAAACAAAGTGTTTCTGATCTAAAACTATATAAAGTGTATTTAACTATTTCAGTCTTGTTGTTTATGATCGTTTTATTTAAATTAAAAGTGTGTTGTCGTTAATTTAGTGTGTTAATCATTATTGTAATTGTAGAAATTATGTTAATATTTTATATGCTGTTTTCACTCATTAGACATAATTAAAATATTTTCACAATCTTAAAACAAATCACTGTATTTAATCTGAATTAACAACATTATGTGCACACAGAGAAACGCACATCTAATCAATGACCTAATGAACATAAATATTATTTCTATTGTTTGACCCTTTATATATTTTCTTTAATTATATAATGTTTTAAATATATTTTAATCTATTTCCCATTAAATTACACAGTCTGACTCCACAAACTGAAACACTGATCTGCTTTAATGTAGTTCGTCCAGACTGAGTTTTGTTGTTTGGGTTTAATCACATCAGACTGACAGTTATTACATTTACTGTGTGTACAATAACATTCTGTTGAGTAGAGCTCGATCAATAAATCAGCCACTGATATATCTGCAGATATTAACTTATTGCAGATATGTTGGTGTTTGTGTGAATGTCGTCTGATAAATAACAATAAACTAAAGTACAGAAAGGCCAAACTAGGTTTAAGATAGTTTAGAAACAGTGTGATCATTACATAGTTTGTCCACCAGAGGGCGCTCACTAGTTTCCAGCATCAGTTGGGTTTTACTCATTGACAGTATAAATAATATAAATATATTATTATACATATTATTATACTGTTTAAATCACATCAAACATGTGTTATGAATCTGTCCATGAATAAATATATTTCCTGTTAATAATCGTAATAATAGTGCAGTTTAACACAGAAATAAGATCTACATGAACTCAGACAGCAGAGGACAGTGAAGGATCCTGAAATAGACGATAATTTAATGGTTAAAATCACCTGCAGCAAATAAACTCTGTTGATATTTAAAAAACAACCCAGAATAAACTTTAAGAATCAGGACAAAAAGTGAATTAACATCAGTTCATGATGGAGAAAAGGCTGGAATTTAATAAAGGATATTTAATTTAATAAAAATCTGCTTTTAATTCAGTTTATGAATTATAACTAAAAGAAACTATAAATATATATAATAATATATAAAAATATAACTTAAGAGAACTTTATAAAATATAGATCTGTGTCTGTTAATATTTATTATGGGATTGTAATAAAACACAGAATATTTTACTTTATACAAAATATTAGTTATCAAAGATATTGTCAGTTTAACTTAAATATAATTATTTAGTTTACACAAATCAATAAATCAAGATATATTAAAGTCAGTTACAGATATTTATTTTCTTGTTTGTATTTTTAAAACAAACTTTATAGTCATGTTTGAATGTACTGTAGTTCTCTTTGATTCTGTGTGCAGGACAATAACATTGTTCAGTGATTTATAAAACTGAAATGTTACATTAATGTTTTCTTACAGTGACTCACTCTCTGAAGTATTTCTACACTGCGTCTTCTGGAGTCCCAAACTTCCCAGAGTTTGTTACTGTTGGGTTGGTTGATGAAGCTCAGATAAATCACTATGACAGTAACACCAGGAGAGCAGAACCCAAACAGGACTGGATGATCAGAGTCACAGCAGATGATCCTCAGTACTGGGAGAGGGAGACTCAGATCCTTTTGGGTGCCCAGCAGACCTTCAAAGGCAACATTGAAATAGTGAAGCAGCGCTTCAACCAAACTGGAGGTTTGTTTATGTTTCACTTTCTACTGATAAAATGTTGTTTATATTTTTATCTTGTATTTTAGTAAACAGATGTTACCACTCACACTGACACACACACACACACACACACACACACACACACACACACACACACACACACACACACACACACACACACACACACACACACACACACACACACACTATTAAGTGTGTTTTATTGACGTACATTAGGGGTGGGTAAAAATATCGATACGGCAATATATCGCGATACTTTGCCGCCCGAGACACCACGCCGAGATATTAATTAATGTCAGCCGTCCCACTCGGGGCTCCTCAGAGTTCACCGAGCTCAACGGGGGGGCACGTACGACCCGCAAAACAAAGATGGCTGCGCCCATATTGAGATGTGTTTTCTTTGTATTTGTCCTACGTTGGTCGTTTTAATGTCGATTTTAAATCCTCTTACACACTGTTTACATTGCTGCTTTAGTCCGGTCACCAATTTATACATTGCACGGTGTTGTTGTGTGTGCAATGTAAAGTTTTGTTTGCTAAATAGGCTAATGTAGCTAACAATAACACTAACCTGCCCCTGGAGGCCCCTGGTGGCCCCTGGAGGCCCCTGGTGGCCCCTGGTGGCCCCTGGTGGCCCCTGGAGGCCCCTGGAGGCCCCTGGTGGCCCCTGGTGGCCCCTGGAGGCTCGAGACAAACGCCACAGCACTTGTTGAAACTGAAATAGGCGATCTTGAGTTGTTGCATCGTAGCAGATCTCAGGTAAGGTTTAATGAGTTTGAGCTCGGAGAATCTTCTTTCAGCAGCAGCCTCTGTAACAGGAAGAGTTCGGTGTTACAGTCTAATAATAACAGAAATGATTCCAGGAATAAAATGAAATAATAAAAATGAAAAACCTAAGAGATGCATTACTTTCACTGTACTGTACATGAATGATATACAGTGCAATTTCTTCTGATATACAAATTATATTAGATTGAATGTTATTGTCATTACAGTGAAATGCTGATTATCAGAATGTAAAGAATCAGTAAACTGCAGAATAATATAACATATGGGAATGTATTAACATTAATGATGTGCACTTTAACATGGATGTAAAGTTTAACACTATAAACACACTTTAGACAATACTGAACTGTAACACAACAAACAACAAGGCTTACAACTCTAATATATAAAGGTGTGTGAAAGGAAAAGCATCTGACTGACTGTTACAAGCAGAGCAAACGTTAACTAAACAATAATAAATACAAATAACAATGTAAACAAATGTAAACAGCTGCTGAATAGATCTAATCTTTACAAATGTCCCTGAGAAATATAATAATATAATAACAATAAATATATATAATAATTAATATTGTTAATGTTATAATCCAGCCCATAAACAGCTGAGACACTTTATATTTATTATTCACTAAAACTGACACATGTAAACACAAACAGCGTCACAGCAAATAAACAACAACAAACCTCATCGCTGCTCATCACAAAGAGCTGCTAAACATCCTTTTAAATCTCCCGTCTCTGCTTCTGTCTGTTGTCTTTGTAAACCTTTGTACTTAAACACTACAACACATAATTAGTTCCGTCTTGCTGTAAACATACAATTCAGAAGAAACAAATAATAAAAAGTGCTAATACAGAAAATAAAGTGGCGACAGGGGCAGTTACACCCATCGTGGCGGCCCCTAGATGGACGGCGCCCTTAGCATTAGTCTATACTGCCTATGCCACGGACCGGCACTGGGTCGGACCAACGGATCAATGTGAAGATTTAACTTTAGTCTCTGGGAACTTGTGATGGACATTTTCACTGTTTCTGAACATTTTACAACATAAACGATTTATTGATTAATCAGAATAAATAGTCATTACCTAATCAATAATGACAGGAATAATTAGTTTGAGCCCACAATATGTAGTAGAATACAGATTATATTATATTAACTCTGCTGTACTGATACAGTCTGTCCATCCCATAATATAAAAGGACACATTTGGAGATTTCACTTTTGGCTCTGGGAACTTGTGATCGACATTTTTCACAATTTTCTGACTTTAAACAAAAAATAAAAAAGTAACTCAGACATACTTTAATAATCCCAGAGGGAAGTTACTTTCGTTACATTACTCCATATGTAACAGACATACATATATTAAGAATAAATATATTTATATATACTCGGTTCTCCGCGTGGCTCCGCGGTAAAGCCGTTAGTCGTTCATCTTGTTGCTAGGAGACCGTACATTCACCATAACAACAGAGGGGAGACTCGGCTTCAATCTTCTCCATAAACCCGTCCCGTCTCCACCCTCCTCTCTTCCCCCGACGTTGCTTCCCTCCTCTTCATCCCCCGGTGTGTTTCCTCCAGAGTTCAGGTGGTCAATCAGCGGCTCTGGCCACTATACCGGCCGCCATTAGCGCCATCAGCTGTTCTCCGGAGTAAACAACGGCAGCGTGTCCCGGTGGAAGCGGCATTAAAACACCAAATAAAACACAAAAACTCTCTCAGACAACATCGTTAGAGAGGACAGGACTTCATAGAGTTACAGTGAACAAATAACAACCAACGAAAAGAGAATAAAAGTTAAGAAGTTAAAAAAAAAAAAAAAAAAGCAGACTCAACGGCTGGAGTGACGTAACAGGCAGCATGCAGCTTTCACATCGATTAATCAATAACTAATTGATAATAAAAATAATGATTAAATTGAGCCGTAAATATTCAGTAGAACAACAGATTAGATTAGATGAACTCTGCTGTACTGACCACAGTGTGTTGGTCCGTCCCATCAGCAGCATCAAGACAACATCTGCAGGAGGAAACAGCTGTTGGTCGTATTGATTGATTGACTGATGGATGGACCAATCAGGACACACAGACTGCCTCCCAGTCTCCGTAATGGTCCTGACGGTCTCTGCCTTATTCTGACCAGTTGTAGTAACACAGTGCTGAACAGGACTCACTGTCCTGGCTGAGCAGCTGGAGTCTGGGAACTCATCCTGGACTGAAACTGTCCTTCAGTGGAAGCTTCTAGAGCAGCTTCAGGACAGTCTGTAGTTTCTCACAGGAAGAGGATATTGTTGGACTGGTCCACTGGCTGCAGGGTCTCAGTGGGTGTTAATGTTCAGACCAGGATCAGGTTTAATCTGTGTGTGTGTGTGTGTGTGTGTGTGTGTGTGTGTGTGTGTGTGTGTGTGTGTGTGTGGAGATAAACTGTTGGTCTCAGTGGAGTCAGTGTGTCTCTGTGGTAACAAAGAGGATATGAACTGTGTTAGGATGTCACTCTGTTTCCCAGCAGTCTTTGCTTCTCTGTGTCTCTCTAAGACGTCCACACTGTCCAGATGATGATTGTCTGTGAGTGTCTTCCATCGAGCCAATAACAGCAGGAGGTGTAGATCCTCTGTGTTGGTGTCTGTGGATCAGTGTGTCTCTGTGGTAAAGATGTGATATCAACTGATGATAGAAGACTGTGCTGTGATCTCACTCTGGTTTAATACTGTTTCTGTCTGTCTCTCTCTCAGGGGTCCACCTTTACCAGAGGATGTACGGCTGTGAGTGGGACGATGACACTGGAGAGATTAATGGTTTCAGTCAGTGGGGTTATGATGGAGAAGACTTCGTAGCATTTGACCTGAAGACAGAGACATACATCGCTCCGACACCACAGGCTGTCATCACCAAACACAAGTGGGATAATAACAAAGCTAATATAGCACAGAGAAAACAATACCTCACCCAGATTTGCATTGACTGGTTGAAGAAGTATGTGGACTATGGGAGGAGCTCTCTGCTGAGAACAGGTAGAATCACATGACCTGATGTAGTTTAATGGACACAACAATCTTCATCTTCCTCTTCAGTTTCTAACCAACAGTAACATCACAATAAATATCACCAACATACAGACTCACTCTGTCTCACACTAATTGTCCTCACTTTCTAATCTACCTCTCTTCAATCTTCTTCTATCGCCCAGTATACTCGACGCACTCGAGCTGTCGCACGACACCGTGACGTCAAAATGACGTAGATCTCGTTGGCGCGCACCACTTTTTTTTTTTTTCTGCGCGCGACAAACCGGAAACAGGAAGATGGACGATCTGTACGATCCTTCAATAAAGGAGCACAGAGACGCCCAGAGTTGCCGGAACTTTTTCTTCTTCTAGTGCGTAGAAATAGCAACGTCGGTAGCCTCTCCTCACTAGCGACACTCTGTTCAGGAGAAGACTGCAACTAGTGCCGCGACCACCACGCGCAAGTATAGATAGTCACGGTGTCGCGCGACAGTTGGTCTGCGTCGAGTAGACTTTAATGAGGTTTATCTGCTTTTCATACATGTATTTAGTGTTTGTTACAAAAACATTTAAACTACATTACATCAAAGAGAAATTATAATGTTAATATAAGTTAATACAGTCTAAATAGTATATACTATAAACATTCTCTCTCTGTTTACTCTCCAGACCGTCCCTCAGTGTCTTTCCTCCAGAAGACTTCCTCCTCTCCAGTCAGCTGCCACGCTACAGGTTTCTACCCTAACAGTGCCACACTCATCTGGAGGAAAGATGGAGAGGAGATTCATGAGAACGTGGACCACGGAGAGATCCTCCTCAACCACGATGGATCCTTCCAGATGAGTGTTGACCTGAAGCTTCCTTCATCAGTCACACCTGAAGACTGGAGGAAGTACGACTGTGTGTTTCAGCTCTATGGTGGGAAGAACGACATCGTCACCAAACTGGACAAAGCAGTGATCAGGACCAATGAAGGTAAGACATTTATTGTTGTATGTTTATGTACTTTTATGTGTGTTGGATGGGAAATTTGGTTTCCTCATATTGTTTTGTTGTCAGTTTCTTTCATCT